GGTAGCACATGGACGGAAAAAAAAAATAATTCACAATACAGAGGAGTGAGATAAAAAACTGAGAACCCTAAAAAGTAAAAAAGTAACACTATACATGGGTAGGTGAACCCACCCACGAGGAGCATTTTACAGGAAGGTTTTGAAATAATTGTTAGCTTAAAGTCAAGGCAAATAAGCCAGAAGAGGGACCATAGCCTTCAAAAATCCCGGGTAGCAATGTTTTCAAAGATTGCCATGTGATTTTTGACGCTGAATCCGAATTTCAACTTTGCACCAAAAAATTCGGACTGAAAAGTTGAAAGGCGGAAATACATACATACATACATACATATATACATACATACAGGGTGTCCCAAAAATCCCTTCCACCCCCTAAACGGTCAAATTTAATCACCTTAAATTTCGTTTTTTTAACTTTTCCCGAAATTTGGGGACTTGCCAACGTAATGTTGAACTGATTTTGACCTTACTGAACTAATGTGGAGGCAAATCTGGGGGAAATTGGCTTATTTCGCGGGAAAATTGAATAACCTTTAAATTGACGTATTTGGGGGTCCGAAACCCCCCTTAAAATTAGTTTGAAGTAATTTCTGTGATTTTTACTTAAAAGTGCTTACAATTTGGTAAATTTTCCCGTTTTATTTTTTTCATTACGATAATTTGAACCGGAGTTATGATTTTTTGAAAAAAGGTCAAATTTGACCTTGGACCTCAAAAATTAAGATATTGATTTGCGGTTTGCGCCAAAATTCTTAGTTTTTTTATGCTTTTTCGAATGAGGTAGCACAAGATAGGGGTTGCTATTTGAAAAAAAATAGTTGGGGTCCGCAGCCCCTCCCCACGGGGGGGCCCGAAAATTTTGGGGGGCCCCAAAAGTAGCTAACATTGACCGATGAACATCCCCAAAGTTTCGCTTCAAAATATCAATCAGGTAAAATTTTAGAGGGGGTGGAAGGGACTTTTGGGACACCCTGTATGCATGTATATATGTATGTATGTATGTATTTCCGCCTTTCAACTTTTCAGTCCGAATTTTTTGGTGCAAAGTTGAAATTCGGATTCAGCGTCAAAAATCACATAGCAATCTTTGAAAACATTGCTACCCCGGATTTTTGAAGGCTATGGTCCCTCTTCTGGCTTATTTGCCTTGACTTTAAGCTAACAATTATTTCAAAACCTTCCTATAAAATGCTCCTCATGGGTGGGTTCACCTACCCATGTACAGGGTGTTTCAGACCACCCGTACCAGGCCTTTTTCTCGGTTGGTTTAGGTCGTACGAAGTCGGAGACCGCGGGGTTGAATAGGGAATTGACCCCAAGGAATCCGAATTTCGTGGTCCCGAAACCCCCCCACCCCCCCTTGGGGGGTAAAGGGGGGGTCACGATGCTAAAAGTCACGGTTTCCGACCGAATTGCGGATAGATCGCATCAGAATTGAAAAGCACGGAAAATTTCACGTGAAATTGACCCCTAAAAATCCAAAATCGGACCATCCAAGGCCCAAAAATGACCCCCTAAAGAGGGGGACAGTACCCCCCTCCATAATTTCTCTTTGGTCTCAAAATTGACGTAAATTCTCCAGAAAAAGACGGTTTCCCAGGTAATCGACGCCGAGAAATCCAAATTTCATGGTCCCGAAGCTCCTCTAGCTCCCCTTGGGGGGTAAACGGGGGGGCCCAATTTTAAAAATCGGGGCTCCTTTCCGAATCGCAAATTGATTGCATCCAAATTGAAGAGCAGAACACATTTACATCTTAAGTGACTCCTAAGAGTTCTAAGAAACCCCCTGAACGGCAGAAAGTAACTCCCTGAGGAGGGGGGCCTCGCCCCCGCCAAACATTTCTCAGGATTCCTCTTTCGTCGCAAAATTGACGTCGATTCTCCAGAAAAAGACGGTTTCCTATGTAATCGACCCCGAGGACTCTAAATTTCATGTTCCCTGAGCTTCTCGGGGTCGATTACATAGGAAACCGTCTTTTTCCGGAGAATCGACGTCAATATTGCGACGAAAGAGGAATCCTGAGAAATTTTTGGCGGGGGCGAGGCCCCCCTCCTCAGGGAGTTACTTTCTGCCGTTCAGGGGGTCTCTTAGAACTCTTAGGAGTCACTTAAGATGTAAATGTGTTCTGCTCTTCAATTTGGATGCAATCAATTTGCGATTCGGAAAGGAGCCCCGATTTTTAAAATTGGGCCCCCCCGTTTTACCCCCCAAGGGGCGCTAGAGGAGCTTCGGGACCATGAA